CGTCCTTGCCTCGTGGCGTAGCGTACGAACCCTGGTGGCCGCTTCAGTGACACACACCGGCAGCATCGATCATTAGGCGCGGCGCATCATCAGTCACCGGGCAAAAGGGGGGACAAGCCACCTATACGTAGGGTCGTGCTATAGCCGTTCCAACTGCGACACTGCACGGCCCACAGACGCGCACATGCCTGCTTGCTAGCCACATTCATTCATACACCCATATACACACGAACACGCGTCCAGGGGCTGAAAGACGGTGCACAGCCCTCCACATGTATCCATATACAATATATACACATAGATAGACAGATGCGGACATATAGCCCCGAGGTTCCTTCCGTGGATTCCATGGCGGGCTCTTCGTGGAAACTTCCTGCGGGAGCGCGCGCGCTGGAAGTGGGCGCTTAGCCGCGTGTTATTAGGTGGATTCCGGCCAATATCTTCGGAAGCATCGATTGGACATAATGGTTTTTTTCGCGGTGTAATTTATGACTCTCGCGCCCCCCCTCTCGCGCACTGACAAAAGGACAGGCAGTTTGGAACCTCCGAGGTCTCTTCCTTCTATCCCTCTCTCCCTCTGTCACTCGTGGAGCGCTATTCGTGCTGTAATCCTGTGTTTCGTGGCAAGACTGCGGACTTTCGCCGTTTCTCTTGAGCGTTTGATGGCAAACGGATAAGACATGCACGCTGCGCAGTTGCATATGCATGCTCGATTTCGCGGTCCCCAATCCCGCAGGCTGCACACACTTAATGATAACTCGATTTCAGAACTGGGCTGAACTATTGCGATAGGTCGCTTGAGCGTGAGCTATTCGCTTTGACGAGCTCACGCTGACTGTATTGCAAGCGTCACTGTGTGGCATTAACGAAGAAAAAATACCGTTTAATGCGCCAATTATTATAAGCAGTCAGAACACAGCTCAAACATGTATCATAGAACATAGACGTGGCTCCATACACGCGTCCTACATATTACATATTTATTATTCCCTACACATTGGTTTATACATGCAGCTTGGAGAGATCAGGCAAGACAGCCGGCTCAAAGAAATCGGCAAACGTAAAGGCTCGTGTTGGTGGTTAATACCGGTGCTGCGATGGTGTTGCTGGTACTGCTTCATGGTGATTAATGCTGACTTAACCGCGACGGAACGGTGCACATCAAAAAGAGATTGTAGCGAGCATTATTTCTCCAATGCTTTCACGGTTTATTATAGCTAAGCAGATGGCGTACGCCTGGTCTAATCTTGCGTATTATAGTTACGTTAAATACATGCGTCAGTGCACACTTCATTGACCACACCGAGAAAAATCAAATGTAGAAATTATAGTCTCACAGGCAGGCAAATGGCAACAATGTCAATGAGTAGAATAGGTATAACAGAAGTACCACACAGATGGCTCGCAGACGGGAACGTTTCTCTTCAAGGCCAAATGTAGCATATACAAAAGCAACAACAACGCCTTATTATTTTGTTTCTAAATGTTACGTTCCATACGTATACGTAAATTTCACACAACCGCGTATGCATCACCTGGCATGCAACTTTACATGACCTGTCAGCTCTTGTATCGTGCGCTTACACACGCAAAGTTCAACGTGTACTTGAACCTCGTATAACTAAACGTCATCGGGATTTGAGGTGTTCATTCATATATTTTTGATCAGTTATTGCAGTTTGATGATGAATTTAAGCATCACTCCTACATAATTTTAGCACCTGGACAACACTGTTTGTGTACGTTTCTTCAATACAGTGGCTCTTTTATGTTCCTTACATAATTTCATGTTATTTGCGTATATTTAAATATTTTATTGGTGTCCATAGCTCTGTTCGTTTACAGATAGGTTATTGCTCATTTTGCTCACTATGTCACTTTTCATTCCTTAAGGCGAAAAGCAGATGCTACCGTTGTTATAAGCTCCCAAACTCCACTTATTTTTACTTGTAAGCGTGATACTACAAGAATTAAGGCAGCTTTGGAAACTGAAACCTCTGAAGCAGACCAGTATAAACATATTTTGCATGGCGTTCTCGATGTGTTCACGTTACCAAACGATAATACCACAATGTTCAGTGGTGTCAAAGATGTGATATTGACAAAACATGTCAAATAATTTTATCCGCCTAAATGAAAGATAATTTCCCGCGGCACTATTTTACACTGCATAAGCACGCGATCATAGCTGGTGGTACACAGTCATCTAATTGTAGTTTCAACAGACGTTGACAGACAGAAATGACCATGCTTATTCGTACTCTGATAATATATATTTCGTAGCTATTTAAAAAGCTAGTGCTGCTTTCAGCGACGATTAACAACACTTAGTGTTCGGGATTGTATGTCTATTTACTATGAATTGCATGCCAGCACCACATCGACAATCTTTTCTCTTAATTCCGTCTTAATAGAAAAATTCACATATGATAAGATGTCAGCAGAATATTACTTGATATAACGGCCAACGAAAAAATACATCCAGCTTCGATCTACGACAGCAGTAAGAAATGGCCACCAGAATTTCATATTATGTCCACGTCACGATTCAACTGCAGCGCCTCGCAGCGACACACGCGAAAAGGCGACAAGCAATGACGACGTCTGCGCAGCGATAGGTGGTCGGGGAAGGCGTGTCCTGTGTCAACCAATCACCGATGCGCTTGTAGGAATCGCGTCAAACCTTCACCATTTGTAAGTCTGACTTGCGACATGCATCACAACTTCTTGTTCGTTAATGATATAACTGCGAAACATACTTGTATTTGCTTGGTTTAGCCACTGCCAAGGTACTTTGCACCAATTTCGAGGCCAGCATAACATATGACGGGTTTAAAGCGAGTCACCGCAAGGAGCTTCCACACAGACAGCGATCCCACGTCATTTTTTTTTTTTCTTTTCGCCCTGCAGCTTCAGGGCATCTTATCTTTAAACATCATCACTTCGCACGAGCATTTCTCAATGCGCAACGAGGCACATGCGCCTTTATTTAGCGATGATTTATTTTTTTCAAACCAGCCTGCGGGCGTCTAAAATTGTCCCGATGCCAGACGAAGGCTATAGAATTACTGCTTAATGACAAACTAAACATGAGAAAGTGCAGAGATAATGTGGAACAATAAAGCATGCGTTATAGGACACATATCGTATATTTTCATTAGTAGTGCCGCTGCTTAAAATTAAAGCGTGTTGGTCCGCACTTCAATGTGCATCTAATGACAGGCCAGCGCTTGTGACAATCCTTACAGGTACGTGGATTTCTTCGCCGTCAATTCAAATGCGAAATGCTCATGCCACAGCACCCTTTACACGTGTAATTGGAGACGAAAGACATGCTTACAGTCCTGATGTCATTGCTTGCTCTTTTTTTTGTTTCTGCTACGTGTATTAACGAAATGCAATAAACGTAACTCCGGTCGTTCGTTACCTTAATCTTGTGATTTTCTTTTTCGGGAGCAATGAAGCTATAATCGTAATGACATTCATTAGTCCTATCACAACCCGTACTTTGTGTGACGCGAGCGATAGAAACATTCTCGTTGAACAGCTCAGGTTTAGTCGAAAGACGCTGCTGCTGATATCTTGCGCCACCGAGCGAGTCAGCTGCGTCGAAGTATCTACACAAATAAGACTACGATATGCACACTGAAAATTAACCACTTTAATTTTTGTCTACGACGCTAGTACTAAATTTGATGAAGTATAGCTTGCTTTCAAGTGAGCTGATAGAACCACTTCAAGGAAATTGTCAATGACACTCGCACAAATCGATCTGTTATTGCGCAAACTGCAACGAAAAGAAATGAACCAAAAGCAGCCATTCAAGACCCGCCTATAACGACTGTTCATTTTCCAACCACACGGTAGATCTTTCCGACACATTGTGCTGAGGGAAGCTCCGAGCTCACACATCTGCACGTTTTAATACTGCTGCACAAGTAGTGGTAAGAAACCATATTTACAATGTCCGTGCAAACATTTCTTGTACAGCATTGAAATTTAAAAATGGCTTGGTGCAGAACAACAAATTATTACTGCCTAAACAATATTTTAAGCAATTTATACACATGTTAATGCGCATGTGAAGTGTAAAAGTTGTTCCAGTATTTCCAGCCCGAGGTCTTCAGTTTGCCCATATATCAAATAAGCTTGTGCTTACCGTTACGCGTTTAGCACCACACAGGTTAGAGATCAAGAGCTGTTACACTGCGATAAGCTGCCGCAAGTCGCTTGCATCGCCACAATATTTTTGTTTCTCTTTCCGACAGACTGTAAAAGCGAAGCTTGCCGCTTACACAGCGTTACGACCTACATAAGGTGTTAGACAAATCTCTTTACGGCTGACAATACGACGTGACAACATTTATTTCAGATCGCTCTTACGACAGGTTGCCTCGCACACGCTGTCTATACCGCGAAGCGCGCGCAGATGTTTCACGTGTCACCGACGGTCGTTGTCGCACAAGTGCTGAACGAGGCACAGGTGTTGGATAAACCACGAGGTGAACTTACGTCGCGATCGAAAGGTCCGGTGCCACGCGACTGAAAGTTTAAGCATGGCCTTCTTGCGACGCCACAACGCCCGGCGTACGAAGGCCAAACCGCACAACGAAGGGAGCGAGCGAGAGCAGAGCGTTTAAAGGCAGCGGCACCCACGAGGCCGTAAATTTGTCCGGGCCGTTAAAACTGCCAAGAGCGCGGTCGGGATTGGGTCGGTCGTTCGGCCGGCAATAGACACCCTCCGAGTCGGCCATTGGGCTGCCGTGTTTTTATGGGGCTGCCTCGAGCAGCTCTCCGACCGGGGCCACTCGAGACGCGCCCCGCGGCCACGGTGCTGACAGGATTACGAGCCGCGGACCTCCTGGAGAGAGCCGCGAGGGGAGGAGACCGGCGCGATATTTACGAGCATCTCGCGGCGAACACCGGCAACGCCTCCGCGTGGTCTTGGCGCGTGCCGTGTGTTTACTACTAGGCGCGCGATGCGCGTGGCAGCGACTCACTCTGGCCGACGTGGACTTTCCGCATCCAGGGGTAGATCTGCGGTGGGTTGGCGGGGTAAGCGGGCTTCTGCTGCTGCGAAGACTGCTGCTGCTGCGCTTGTTGCTGCGGTTGACTGCCAGCTGTCGGCGCTGGCCTGCTGTGCCGCGGCGGCGCTCCTCGGCGGACTGCTGTGCGCACCCTGCGCGGCGGGCGTCCGACGGCGAAGAGCCCCGCGTCTCCGGGCTCGACGGCGACTGGGTGCTCGAGGCGCTCAGGTCCTGCGGCGACGCGGCCGTCGACTCGGCCGTCGCGTACTTGCAGCTGGCCGCAGACGGCGTGGGCGTGCGCGGACTCGGGTGTCCGCCCGGAAGCCGCTGGCCGCAGCCGGGAAAGCCATGCTCGCCGCCGTTCTGCAGGTGCGCTGCCGGCTGGCTGTATGGTCCACCGTAGGGCTGCACGGGCGACGCCGGGCCGCTGTAGCAGCCGGTAGCGGCGTACGGTTGCACCTGCGGCGTGTAGTAGTCCGTGTCCTGGCCTCGCTGCTGGCCGTAGCAGGAGGCCAGCGAATTGACGAACTGGTACGAACTCATGGGTGTCGAAACTCAGGGCCCTCCCGGGGGCGCCATGGGGGTTGGCGGCGCAGCAGCAGTAGCAGTCACAGCGGAACACACAGAACTGGTAGGAGCACACGATGCCGACCGAACTACACCCGATCAAGCCTCAGGGCACGACTGTGCCGCCGGCCCACGGCCGCTCGCCTGTTATACGTGGAGGGGGGGCAGAAGGGGGCAGCCCTGGCCACAGCGCCCTCTGCACCTTTCTGGCGCGCGAGAGAGAGAGCTCCGGCGGGGTCCGCTGCTGCTGCTTGTCGCTCACTGCTACGTCGCTGCCGCGCGCCCCATGATCGATTCCCTTCTGGGCGAATGAGACGCCAAGAACATTTCCCTCCTAGCCCTGAGACCGCATTATAATTTCTTCTAGCGGCAATTAATATCTGCCAGCTCTCTGCTGTCCTCCTCACCCCGGACACGGCGGCATCCGCCGTCGAGAGTAATCCGGCTACGCGCGTAGCAGGCCGCGACGCCTCCTCGCCGCCGGCGCTGAGCGCGACGTCCCCTGCCGAGCCTGGAGTCGCGCTAGAGGAGGTACCAGCCCTCAGCCCGCGCGAGAGGATTTTCCACTCTCGTACCCGGCCTGCTACGGCCACCCCTACTGAGTGACGTAACCTGGCACGTGATGAAGAGTGCTCCGCCTCAACGCGCGCGCGCATGCGCACGGCCTTCGCAGATCGAGCGCGCCGCTAAACAAGGTTTATTTTGCGCGTCGCCGACGGAAGTGAATGGAGGCCGGAAGTCGCTCTAGTTTTAGTAGCACTTCGACGTTCGACCGTGTTGCATCACAGGAGTCGGGGACAACCCCGGCGATCGAGACGTTACACGTCCACGCTCGCGGCCGCGTCATTTAGGCCGCGATTTATGCTCGCTTGTTGCCGCGAAGTTTACTTTTCTTTCCGCCTGGATAGGAGTGCACTCCAGATAGAAGGTAGGATTTTTATTTTGTTTTAATCAGTTCTCATTACTTTTTCCCAACTTAACTTTTTGCGGTTACTTTCGTTAACGTCTTTGCCGCGAAAATGACTCTCTTTATGTAGGGTTGAGTTATCGACATAAATTGTCCCGTCATACAAGAAATAAACTTTTCTTTCCCCGGTTCGCTTGTGAGGTATTTTCTCTCTATAGTGCGATCAACTTCGATACCCCTCCGACTACGTTACCAGCATGACATCGTGTGGTGATCACTGGCTTTATGTATACTGGTTTCTGTGAATTGAGTAATAAACAGTACACCGTTACTGAATTTTGGGCCTGAATGTTGCCGGGAACTTGTAAGGTTGGTGTCATTGACGCGTGATCACCTTCTCTTACGTATGCTCTAGGTTATAGGTTTAGCGCGCTTCGGATCGGATGCTACAGAAACCATTCGACTAGTGCTCGCTGAACTTGGACACCTGTCAACATAATGGACAGCGTCGTCATTGATAGTCCTGCCATCGCAGAGGTTATTAGATATGCCGAATAAATATAATATCCTTGCATGTTTTATCGCAGTATTGTTTTCGTTGGCGAATAGAGATAAAGAAATAATGAAAAAGTAAAGTTTGATCAGGCACGAGTTTACTTAGAGTTCAAGTGCCGGGCGCCAAACCGAGCCTCGTGGGCCAGACATGCGGGCCCGAGAGGGAAGCCACGCCGGCGGCTCCAGTGGCTGCGCGGTTCAAAAGAGGGCGCCAAAACACGACGCCGGCCCCTCGCGCGCCGAGGACGCCATAAATCTCGCGCGAAGCGTGCGTGGCTGCCTCCGCGCCGGCGCACTGGCAGCGTTGATGCCGTTGCCGACGCTCTTAGCAACCATTACCGTCACCTTAACGCCTTCGGTACGACTCGAGAAGGTGCGAAGACCCACGCTAGCGCGAGTCACAGGTAAATCACCTCTCTTTTCCCGTCGCTAGCGGGCTTTCTTTGTGACCGGCCGTGCCGCTCGATGGAGGCCGCCATGACTGCTTTAAGCGCCTATGTAAACAAACATGGCGCCGCCCATAGGCACCGGCCACGGAGCAGGGCCCACGCGCTTATTATTATTATTTTTTGGCGTTCTCGGCCCGCTCTTATCAATTCGCGCGTACGCAGACGCCTTTGTTTGGTGCGAAGGCGTTACTGTCTTCAAGTGCTACGGTTCTATTACGACAACTGCGTTGTGTAAATGGCCATGTTGGCATCTGAATATTGCGGGAGAAACGGATCGGTAAGCGTGTTTGCTCTGTTGCTATTACTTAATGTCTCATTTTCAAATTATCAAAGGGTGTTGTAAGTCAGTAACGTGCAGGTAAGGAATATATTTAGCCTACAAAGTGGTTCAAGACGAGCACGACTTAGTGTTCTCGCGCATAATCAACCGTGATTCTGTTCGATTTCGTATAGGCCATGCAAGAAGGTCGACATGTTCATTTTAATTGCCTTAGTAATACTTGAAACTGTTACCACACTAGACCACGTTCTCGCAATCGTGCGATGCCCAGGTGATAAACTATTTATTAAATCCATTATAAGGAGAACTATTCAGTGCTATTGAATTCAAAAGCAAATGCTAGTCGAATATCTATGGCTGCTGGCGCCTATCTCAAAGACCTCATTCAACGTTGTTAAATAGTTCATTCCGATTGTTTTGCATTAACTTAAAGAAAAGTGTGGGACGGCCAATGTCACAAGGATGTGACGAATAGTTCAATACTACACTTTGCAAAGTTCACTTTGCATGGTACACTTTGCATAGTACGCTTTGCAAAGCCCCGCTGAGCACGTTCCACGAAAATTAAAGCTTTTTGGGCCGTTTTCATTGGTCGGCCTCGTTCCTAACTATATGCGCGGCAATAAGATTGGTTAGAAATTTCCTTAAACCTGTAGTTTCCCTAAGCACTGTAGTGAGGGTGGCGAGTGTCTGAAGAGCCTTGTTCGTGTACCAACCTGTAGATATTCCGTGTGCCTACTTGCTCATCCTTGGCATCGCTCGTGGCATTTCGTCGTCAAGGAAGAATCAAAGGTAAGAATCGCGAACACATTTGGATTTGGAGTCTCTACGGCATTCATCGTGGCCTGCATTCATAAATACTCACGCTTGAATTCTTCGCAGTATGTCAGTCAATTTGGACGATTGTCCTATATTGACTGAAATCAGTTGCATAATAGCTAGAATCAATCGCAAGGGCAGTGTGTTCCTGCTTTTTTTTTAAAGTAAAATCATGGCATAAATAGAAAGTGTGGTCTGTCGGACAGCCACGGTGGGAATTTCCTCTGGTATACAATTATTCAAAATTATATAATTATTATGTGCCTTTTGTGTTCAGTTTGCTTTCCATTAATAGATTCACTTAACTGTACAGTGTTATCTAAATAAACTACGAAAGAAAGGAAGAAAGAAAGAAAGAAAGAAAGAAAGCAACCTCGCTTATGTGATGTCTAGCGCATTCGTTCAGAAGATGTTTTGTGTTAATTACACGACCGCATTCTTGAGAGAACTAAATACTGAACTTAATGTAGTTCTTTATAACTTTCATACCATAATAAGGCGACTGCCGAATTGGCTGTCAAGAAGTGGCAGTGGCAAGACAACACATCTCGCACTGAAAGGTACTCCACAAGTTCAAATATTCAAACTGATGGCTAGCTTGCATATAATTAACATGCCAAATTTAAATGTGCACATTATAAATTCTTTCAAAACGCGCTTGGTGCCTGTGTCAGTGTGGCTCGTATGAGGAGGCGTCAACTTACATCCCCATGCTCCTTGCTTGGTATGGTGTGCCTCTGTACGCGCACACAAAAGTTGAAATTGTTTTATTGCACGTCGCAAACCTGTGTGTCTGAAGAAGCCGAAACCAACGCCTCAGCTACAGATAAGTATAAATGATTCTGTATTTGTATAGTAAGAGAATAAATAATACTAGGTGTAATTTCTCCTTTCAATAGTTGAACATGATAAGTGGCACTTACTGGAATTCCGACATATTAGTAAACGCGTTACAGAGGTTAAATTAAGACTGCCATTCCAGCCTAAGAAAAGAGAGTCATTCGGCTCCTTTAAAAGTGCTGTATCGCCACGTGTATGCATGCTCTCCTTAAAGAGACTCATTAACTCTCTTTGAAGGTAACTATATACTCTCTTCTAAGAGTCGTGTGACCCACAAGAGAGTTAACGGGCCATTTTAAAGCGAGTCATATACTTGGAAACTCCAGACTCTCCGAAAGGAGTCAAATGACTCTCTCTTTTTTGTTCCTCTTTGAGTGCGGGCAGAACCAGTTTTCGCTTAGCACAACGTTTCATTCGAGTGAACCGGCCCGAATAAATGGATCGTAAAGGATGAAATAAGATGACGCAATATCATTAATCGCAATACATGGTGGCCTTGGTAGGCCGAATGACCCGCGGTTCTGTCTCATGTTTATTTCCGAATGGCACTGTACACCTTCAAGCGGTCCGATGCTGTAACCTGTTGACTTTAATTATACGCGGTCAAGAATCGCAAAGTCAGTACAAAAACTATCCGAGTTCTTGTACTTCATGCTGTGGCAACCATGGTACTCACTAATTGTTAAATTCGTTTTGTTTAATTGAAACTTTTTCTTTCCGTGGAAACCTAGGCAAAGTAAGTGTACATCGACGAACTAAGACAAATGGTCTTGGATTAGTGACACCTCAGTCGCACATGCGAATATAATATATATATGCTTAAATATAGCCTTATTTCAGAGAGTCAGTATACTACTGTCAGGCAAGTGGGTCTAAAGGCTTTTTATTCCGTTTTCTTAGACTGGTCTAAATGTGTCACTATATAAAACTTTGCGTGTGAAGATATGTATGCGCATAATTAACTAAGAGAAGCATCTTCTTTGAAGAGGTCGTGATAGCGCAAATTTTCACATCATTATTTACTGCTGGCGCCAATTCTTATAGCCCAGCTCCCGCACTTGTCCATGGCTTTGATTTCAGACAAGTGTTCTGTTTATGTAATGTATTACAATGGGGCTATACGTGAACGCTTGCAGCAGAGTAGTGGCAGTAACGAGATGGCTGGGATGCATTTGTTATTGTTCAGTATCATTGAAGCGTCGACTCGTGGTGAAGTCGCCAGTGCATGGACAGTATTGAGATCTGCTCGTT